CAACTATTGCAGCAAATATCAAATAATTACATTTTTCTTACTCTATAAATTATCTGCCTATTTTATCATTCCATTTTCTAGATGAAACCAAATTAATAGCAATTATGTTGTTAATAGGTTTATTACAGCTAAAATATTTGTTAACGAAGTTTATGCATCTAAACATTTTGCATGTATACCTATTTAGCTAAGGTGACCCCAGGTAGTTGAAAAAATGCTATGATGATGATAATGACCACTTATTTAGCAACACTAGTGACCATCTCCAAATCCTTCTTTTTGTTTTGTTTTTTATAATTCAGCTGTAAAAATTGATCCTAAAATGTAATATTGCCAACATCGATGGCTCACTCATATCTTTTCTTAAGGGAATTTACTTTTTGAACTTACCCTTCCACTTGCATGGGCTCGTTTTTTAGGGTCTAGATTTTGAAGTTTTTTTTTTTGGTAATTTAATGAGAAGATAGGCCCCTACTCGTTTTTCAAGCAGAATAACTTTTTGAAAGTATTAGTAGGGTGGTGATATTAATGAGAATAAAAACTACAACGTGATAACTCGGTATAGGGTACTACCACCGACTTGAAAGTTCCCTACTAAATGAGTCTACTTTGGGTAATTTAGGGTAACTACTTCGAAACCTACCAAACGCAACACATCCGATGGTGATAAAGCTTCCTAAGAAAATCAAAGAAGCCGACTCTCTTTCTTGTGCGTTCCAACAGTTTCTATGCCTTTTCCAAGGTGCTCTTTCCCTCCTTCTCACCAATATTCGTGCTCCTTTAAGAAAGTCCCTCTGCCTTTTACAGATACATAACCTTCAAAAAGCTCTCTCTCCCACATTTCTTTACTCTGAAATGAGCCCAGATACATAGCCTTCAAAAAGCTCTCTCTCCCACATTCCTTTACTTTGAAATGAGCACTCACTGTAGGGATAGCAGTCAATGAGCCCATATTCCTTTCCCATTTTGATGTCTTTCTTGTATACTTTAATCAGGCCTGGCCTGATCAGAATCGGGTGAGGCCTGACTGGCCATCTAGTTATGGTCCTATGCTTAGAGGTGGCAATAGGTTGGGTACAGGTCCAGTCTGGTTGGAATCAGATTTGGACTTGTCAAGTCTCAAGTCTGGCTAGATCTATTGCCACTCTATAACTATGAGCCTTTTTTTTTTTTTACCATCATATATCTTATGACTATGAGCTTTTTTTTTTTCTTGCCAATAATACTGTAAATATTACCGATCTTGCGATAATATGAATACCTAGTGTGCCCCAAAGACACGTGATTGCCATCATATACCCTATGACTACGAATATAGGTCGGGTCAGGCCGGACCGAGAACCTGACCCCGATCCGAATAGCATTTGAGTCTAAAATTTAAACCATACCCAGACTTGAGGTTGGGTCTACTCAGGTCCATTGCCACCCCTTCTTATGCTGGGCCTAGGCCTAGGTTCCTACAGCCCAATCTGGCCCGAGCTGGACCAAGACTAGGTTTAAGTGACCTAAATAAGGGCAAAGCAAGGTGGCCTAGTCTGGGCCATGGCTTCTCTAGTTCTGAAACTCTGAAATTTTCCAGGGGGCATAGTGCTTGGGGCCACTAAAAAACACACGTTCAAATTCACGAAAGAAAAAGTTGGGGAACACGTTCAGGTGGAGTGGGCAACTTTTGGTATTGAGGCTCACTCTTGAAAATAATTGAATCGTGCAATGGGAAAAAACAGCATGCAATGTGATGAGTGTGGTTTTGGATTTAGAATTTTTCGTGTCCATATCATCTCATATCTTAATCCTAGATATTGAAAACATTTGGAAATTTATCAAAACACTAATGAGATATTATCTCAGAAGTGACCGCAGTGAAGAAGATTTCCTGGTTTGGGACATTGAGCATGATGGGTTATTTTCAGTGAAGTCCATTTATGCTTTATTGTTTCATGATAGATGACGATGGTTGCTGCCGTAGATTGTTCAAGTTTGGAAGTGGCATATACCTCACAAGGTCTAGTGTTTCACGTGGTTAGCAGGGTTGAATAGGATCTTAACAATTGATAATCTTATCAAAAAAGGTAAAATTCTATCAAATATCTGCCCGATGTGCCAGAGGGATGGAGAGTTGGTTGCACATCTGTTTATTCATTGTTGCTTTACCACTAGACTTTGGGAGTTTTTTCTCAAACTTTTGGGGATAAAGGTAGTTTTTCCTCAATATTTGTTGGGCTTTATTTCTCAAGTGATCTCTCCTGGGTTAGCAAAATTAGGGAGCATAACTTGGAGTATTATTAGGAGTGCAAGGACATTTCGGTGGAGTTGGTTATCGGTAACTGCAGAAGGAAGGGGCATTATGGATATTGATATTCATTTAAATCTTGCCAATATTGTATTTTCCCCTGGAATTCACTGTAGATCTGTTGGTCCATGGCTATCTCCTCCTCTAAGTTTCTTCAAATTAAATTTTGATGGAAGCTCTTTTGGTAATCCATAAGTAGTAGGTACCGGAGGGGTTGTTAGTGACATAACCTTATTGTAATCTTTTTTTAGCAACAAAACCTTGATAACTTTTGGCAAAAGAAAAAACATAGCACCTATTTAATATTTTACCTGTATTCTTTAATTTTGTTTCAAAACACCTATAACCTTATATATGATCACGAGGTGGAATAGTTATAAATGTATAAAATGTTAAATAATACATCTCTCATGAGTATTTTGTTAAATTTCCTTACATATTTAAAGATATTATTGAGTGTTGTTATTCTTCGACAAAGAACCAATAGCATTCACTTGGATTACCTTTTTTTTTTTTTCTGCTCTTTTTTTTTTCCTTTATTTTTTGACTTAATTTCGTAGTATTCTCAATCTATTACGTAGCCATTGTTGTCTCAAGTACTTTGTTCAAGAATTTTATTGTCACTTCAGTATGGATGTTTTGGAAAAAGAAAGACAAAGGAAGGTATGAGCATAAAATGTTACAAAATGAGAAATTTTTATAGATATTTAGTGGAATATGAGTATAAATTTATCTATAATTTTTTGCCTTTATAATAATATATGTTTGTTAATAATGCTCTTACCGGTGTTCACATGTGCAAGCCTTGCAATATCTAACTAGTTTCACTATTAAAAAGTGAAATCATATAACTGGGGTTACACCATTGTATTTCAGTTTATAAGAAGAGAAAAACTTGTGGCAATATCCCTCTAAATTACGGTCGTCATAGAAATTTTCCCAAGATTCTATATCCATGGCTATTTTTTAATTTTTGATTTTAAAATTTTACGTGTTCTAAATCTTGAAGGTATGAAGTTTAATATTTTTATTTATAATTTTACTTACTACCTCAAGGTTAGAGAGAGAGAGCCAAATCACAAATAATAATAATAATAATAATAATAATAATAATAATAATAATAAATATCCAATGAAAGAAGAGAGAGAACAAACGAGAGAGAGAGACGAAACCAAATAGAAGGCCCTGTTTGCATCATGAAATTCTTTTTTAAAAAAGGCTATTTCCTCTTAAATATATTTGTGTGTAAAACATTTACTGTAAAATGAAATTTTACTCGTTGGATAGCATCTGAATGAGTTTCTACCATGAAACAGGTTAGATACAATAAATATCTACAAAGGGAAAATATGACCGAGATAGAGAGGGGCAAGCTTTCCCTGCAACATAAAACTCATATACTTCCCCTTATCCAACCGTCCAGTATGAATTGAAGGTTAAGATTGCCCCAATCACAATATCACGTCTCTACACTATTTTATTTTTAATTTTTTTCTATAAACTATTTTGATACCAAATTTTGATATCCAATCATCTATTAAACTCATACTAGCGAAAAATATAAAAAAAATATTTTCAATAAAATAAAATAGCCAAAATACCCTTGAAAGATTCAAGGAGTATTTTGGTCATTATATTTTATTGAAAAATTATTTATAATATTGTTTATAGATGCGCCTCAATGATAAGATGGCATGTACCAAATTTCATATTCATACATTTTGTATAAAAAAAACTAAAAATAAAATACTTTGAGACGTCGGATCTAAGATCAAATGGTAAGTGGCTTTTTTTATCAAAATTAGATGGCTAGATGGTAGGGGAAGTATAGATCTTCTATGCTCTAGGGAAAGTATAGAAACCTTTCCCGATAAAAAGATAAAGAAATGGGTAGAGCGAGATAGAAGTAGAAAAAGATTTCATGAACAGGGAGAGATTCAAAGAGAAATACGAAACAAAGATATAACAATTTTTGAGAATAAAAGGGGGCGGTTCATGGTTCCCCTTTCATTTTTTTTGTCGTTTGACTGTGTGAGAAAATCAACCAGGAAAGTTATTTTTAAAGTTTGTAGGGAGAAAACAAATTTTTATTTTGGGTTCAAAATAGAGATTTTTTTTTTTGGATAAAAAAATATTTCCATCCTAAATTTTGGATCCAATTAGCAGATAATATATTGAAGGCAATATTTCATTTCTATAAGGCTGAGGCTCTAAACCATCAAAGCAGGGTGCGTCTTCAAATAGTATCAAAAGATGTTGTTTCAATATTAGCAATCTTTGTGATGGCTTGAAAATTTATTTTCATATGTAATTATAAATTTTAAAGTTTAAAAAATTATATAAATGGAACAGATATATGAACATTTGAAAATCTTGAAAATTGACAGTCCACAAATACATTCCAAGATTCAGTATCTCCAAGACTTGAAATCCATTTTTTTGTCATGTTTGTACATCTTGAGGTTGAGGTGATCAATTTGAAGAATTTTGAACATTAAAACTACCTCTTATAATGAATTTTTGAGTTACGCCTTAATTTGATTATTTAGGGCCTCGCACTTATATAAACATTTTCCTTTTCCTTAGAGACCAAAGCGGCGGGGAAAAGTGGTCAAATGTTTTGGCGGGAAGCACCCTTCGTTCCCTCCAAAAATTTGAAAAAAAACGTTTAAAGTTTGCAGTTTTCGACAAACCCAGAAAAAGCCTCCCTCTAAAATTCCTTCTTCGTGCCCAAGAGAACCCAATTTAAACCAGTCTACCTCTTGATCTCCCTTCACCGAATCCCGACCGTCCAAAACCCCATCGTGCGATCCCCACCCCTTCTTCCACGGCTCCCACGATCCAATCCCAATCCAGGGCTTCCCACTTCCAATCTGAACCCTCCGATCTAGGGTTTTTTTGTCCCGATCAACGCACAAGCATCCAATCTAGACCGTTTGTACCCATTGTCCCAAAAACAAATCTGGACCGTACAATCTAGGGCAAAACCTGCAACTTCACAGGTTCCGCTTCAATGGCGGATTCAGCACCAGTTTTTCCACCTGGTCGTGTGAAGAAGATAGTGAAGCTCGACAAAGATATAAAGAAGGTTAACTCTGAAGCTCTATTTCTCATTTCGTCTGCAACATCTCTGTTTCTTCAACATTTAGCAGAGAGCTCTGCAAAAGTTGCAATGGAGAAGAAGAGGAAAACCCTAGGGCTTGAGCATTTGAGGGCTGCAGTGAAGGGGCATGTCCCAACTAGGGTTTTCCTCGCTGACTCATTGCCGAAGCCTTTGGCGAAGGAGAAGCGATTGAAGAGAGAGAGAGGTGGTGCTAGGGCTGAGAAGGAGCTTCATAGTGGAGAGAGAAGAATTGAGGATTTCTTCAAGAAACAGGGGCCTGGAACTGATATGGGTTGATGGTGGAATTTGAGTTTCTCTCTCCTCGCTCTCTCTCTCTATCTCTCTCCTATCTCTTTTATCTGTAATTTTTGACTTGCTATTGTTGGTTTAATCATTTGTTCTAATTTATCTCAAATATTTACCGCACAGTCTATGTTCTGGTGCTTGAAGTGTGAATATTGAGTTATTCAACTTGATTTGGGATTTTTTGGTGCTCAATCCCTATTTAGTCAAAACTTATCAGAAGAATTCCTCGGTATAATGCATTACAAATGGAGCAGATTTTATGTCATTTAGTTCTGAAAGCTCAACAATAATTAATTCTGATTTCTTCACTGACATGCAGAGGATCATTATGCCAATGAGCTTGCATTTGATGGGTTTTTTAGTCCTAAACCTGGTTACTCAAAACCTGCAAAAAAAAGTACCTATTTGGCTCAGATATACACAAATCATGTCATCCATTTAGTTTGGGAAGCTTCAAATTAATTCTCTCCAATCTCTTCGCTTAAATACCTGAAACTTGATAAATTCATCATGGTTAGATTTTTGCAGCATTGTTCTTGAAACCTTGCTTGAATGATATCTGTGATAGTTGAAGCTTAATTTATTTGTTAAATTTGGTATACATTTCTGCTTGTCTTCCTATGGCTGATATCTTCGAGGTTGATATGCTGAGAAATATACATAGAGGCTCTTTGCTATTATACTGAATGAGCAGTTATCTTTTTCTTTTGGGTAAATAATGAGTAGTTATCTGGTTTCTTTATGTATTATTTATCTTCTTTGATGACATCCAGATGTGCACAGATCTCTTAAACTCGACCAGATTTTTTTGGCTATGATTATTATTAGCAGAGTTTAGAACTTGCCTCTCTACCAAGGGACTTGGCCATGTTGACTTACTCGGCTGAGTCCGAGTGGACTTGGCAGGCCAAAATGCCTAGAAAGGATAAAACAAAAAACTGAAAAATAAAATAATTGTAGTAGAAGTAAAATAAAACCAAAAACAACCTTAAATATGCTTAAAAAAGGTACCAAAAAAAAAAGATTTAAAATTTGATTTATAATTGGGGATATTTAAAAAAATTAAAGCAAGGAGATATAAAAATAGGGATTATGGCAAAAAAACACTCACTAATCTTTGCCAAAAACATCCAAATCATATACCAAGAATCTATGTAAACATTATATCTTTTTAGGATTTTGGATTATTTATTTATTTTTATACCTCCAGTTTTTTACTCAACTCTTGGTAACTGGCTGAGGCCGAGTTACTCGCCCTAGTCCTATTGGACTCGGGAGAGTCCCTTAACGCTGATTATTAGTGTTTCAATTGAATGAACCTAGTAAAGCTTCAGTTGCTATTTACGTTGGAATATGCTAGATAACCTCTGCACGAAATGATATGGGAGCTATTCAACAGGTCCATTGCGAAATCCCACATATGCATGGGTATGGGTGATGCGCCTCTGACTGCATAACGCATTATGTGGCCGCATAGTGCAGTATGTGGCCACATTTGATAACACTGCCACCAATACTGCTGCTTCTAGGTGATTTTGAAATACCATTTCTTTCTCATATCAAGTCTTTTTTCGGTACCATGTTTCATGCACTTTTGCTACCTTGGGCAAATGAAGAGGAGACTATTGAATTCAGATCATAATTTACCATTAGAGCATTTTTAAAGTTTTGAAGTTTTAATTCTATTTCCTCAATTTGCTCTGTTGACTAACATACTTGTGCAGTATGATCTGAATTTAATAGTCTTCTTGTCATTTGGCTAGGGAATTTGAAACTCTCAGAAAGGACTTTGAAAGAACATAAATCAAATTGAATGATATAAGAATGAGGTATGACTAAACTTGAGGTGATCTAGAATTTCTTAGAGCTGATCTGGTATGGTATTTTGAGCTTAAGCATTTGTATAGTAAGAGCAATGTTTTTAGACTCAGCATGGTCCTCGGACTCGGACTTGGCCCCAGCCAAGTAGCTAGGCCAATTCTGAGTGGACTTGGCTGAGTAATTAAGGGCCCAAAAAAGCCCTAAAAATCAAAAAAATCAAATAAAAACTTTAAAAGTAAAACAAATTAAATAACAACATAAGGAATCCAAATAAGCTGAAATAAAACATGAAAGCATGTTTTCAGAAAAAATTGATGTACGGTTGGAGACATTTCAGAAATAAAATTACTAAATGGCCAAAATACCCCTATAGTATTTAGCGTATTTTTTTTAAAAAAAAATTATGTTTAATAGTTGTGTGACGCTGAGAAGTATGAGCATAAAAAATTTCAGCCTAATCCGATTTATAAAAAGTAAGATAAAATTAATATGCATTATATGCTTTAAAAACTTGGGACTTGAGTGTTTTGAATTCCAGAAATAATGAGTGTTTTGAATTCCAGAAATAAAACAGGACATTTCTGTAAATTTTCCAATTTCTAAGTGAGTAGTGTAGTTAAACATTGAGTAAGATGGATCTCAAGGAGCATGAAATATCCAAGCTTCACTCTTGCTGATTGGAGGAGGGAGCCAATTGCATGGGAAAAGAACAATTGAGCTAGATTGATCTGGCATTGCTGTTTAAAAGCATATTGAGATTGAATAAAGAACTTCGATGAAATCCTTGAATTATTGTTTTTTTTTGTTATTTTTAGTAGTTTATAGGTTAGGTTGATATTGAGGTAGGTGTTTTCTAATGTTGGTTGATTTGAATGCTATGCTGCCCTTGAGGAGCAGGCTTTCTACAATTTTATGTGGGAATCTTGTATGAGACTCGACTATTTTATCTTTTAATTTTGTTTATTAATATTTGATGAGTCCATTTCATACTCTTATATAGATTTCTATCCTAATTTGAACCCTTTTTTTAAATTAGTCGTACATTATTTTAAAACTCATATCCCAAATTAGTAATGATTATTTTATTTTGAAGATAATAAAAACTTGTAATTACAAAATCAAATATTAGGAAGGGCATTGTATTACTTATTTGCGAACCAATTGTTTTTTTACATACTAAATTCATAATTAAAATTCAAAACAAGAAATTACAAAATGTAATATTACTGATTGGGGTATTTTGATTATTGTTTATTGTTGGGCACATATTTGGCAACTTTACATGTGTATGAACCCTTGATTTTTGAAGCTTTATATTTGGGATTTGAGGCAATTAAAGCCTGGATATAAAAGGTTTTGCTTGGTTTTCTCTCTCATTGCCTAATGTGTGAAGGTATGACATGAAGTATGTCATATAACACTACGTGTGCCTTTTGACACAAATTCAAATTTTGATTTCTAGAGAGAAGAAATGTGTGAAGAATTGAGTGGCATACCCTTCACTTGATTTTTACCTCGCATTTATTTAAATGTTTGGACAATTATGAGATTGGAATTTCATGAATTTATGGAATCAAATAAGTCCAAAAATTTGAAGTGAATCAAATAAGTCGGAAAATTTGAAGTTGTTCTCACAATATGGGATAAAGGTAAAGAATCACAACCTGATAGCTATGATAGCTAGAACTATTGCTGGATAGCGAGGATCTTGCTTCTTTCCAAGCCTTTTGATGCTTATGATACGTGATCTAAATTCAATCCATCAAAAAAGGCTAACTTAAAACCTAGTTCACTCTCTATAAATACCCATTATTGCCTAAACCCTGGTACCTTTTATTGAGAGACAAGAACCAACGTATGGCCTAGTATGCTTGAAGAGAGAGTGAAAGAAAGAGAGGAAGAGAGAGCTAAAGTGTGGCACACACCCCACTCTTACTTGATTCAGTTTCCCATAACCCATGGAGCACATAATGGTGGCATGTCATGGAGCATAGAAGGAGTTCCTTTGGTGGAATTTTAGCTCTTCTTCTTCTTGGCCCTCAATTTCTTCTTTGAACTCTCCTTTCATGGTTCAATAGTCATTTATTTCATGCCTCTCAATTCCTACACAAGCTAGCATGACTATAGTTTGATTTGAGCCTCTTTTCTTGAGATTTGGTTGAGTTTTCCATTGCTGAATTTTCTCTAACAGCCAAGTATTTAGCTTCCTCATTATATTAAAGCTTGATTTTTGAAGGGGTCATTATGCCGAAATTTTATCTTGCACCCTATTGTAAGTTCCATGCTCTATAGTCCATAATTTTACTCCACGCACCTCTCCTTTGATGTTATTTTGATGTGCCCCATATCTTGGTCATAGGTGGTGATTTTGGTGATCATAAGAGTTTATACTTCCGTTTAATTTGAATTGAAATTAGACCACACATATCTTGTTATTGGATTGAGAAATTAAAAGGATTGTTGCTTAGACCTTACCCGACACAAGTTTGATCATTAATTTGGCTTCGCATAATTTTGAGACTAAGTGCGCAATAACTTTAGGTTGGCCTAATTTGTGTATTTTTTAATGTTATGTAATTTGTATAATTAAAGTCATTGTATTGAGGAATTGTTTATCAAAAATTAGAAAAATTAAAAACCTCAAATATATGTACAAAATATTGTATCTCAATTATAACTGGCTCTGTACAACTCTGTAAAATATAAATCAATTACGTGAATTTAAATTGAAAATGCAACATAACCTAAAATTTCAAGGCCAATTTCCCCATTTTACGCTTGGTGCGAATCCAATGGGTCAAATCCTTGTCAAAGCTTCCTAAAACAATGCCAATCAAAATCCCAGTCCTGTTTGGGGACTTAAAATCTCTCAAATCATGGCTTTTTGTGTTGTTTGTGAAAATCAAGACTGGTTGGATCGGTAACACAGCATGGGATTGGGATCAAATTTCATCGAAGATCGACAATTGGTTGCAATGAAAATACAACCTATCAAAATAAGACAAAACTTCGCTGCCTTTTCCAATCCGAAGGAATTAAACAAATCTGATTTACTTCTCAAACCTAATGTTTCTTATTGTTAGACCAGGTTAAAATTTTTCTAAGGACTCAATTTTGGCACAAATCACTGACCCTAGGGCTCAAATTGAAGAAAACAAAGAAAAATAAGGGGGACGGATTGCTGCCCTTTTTTTTAAAATGAGAAATGTACAATACCCTGGCAAACACATACTTGCCTGAGTATTGTGAAACTTGTGCAAGTCGGTGACTCGTTCAAAGCTGACTCGCCCAAGTTTCACACTACTTGGGTATAGTGGTCTCTGTTATACTGTAGACTTGCTGCATATATTATATACCCCCAGCGTTTGGGGGGGTTTTGGACTTGGCG